CTTTTAATTTTTATACAGGAGACTGAAGCTCCTGTTTAAGGCATGGTAAACCCTCTTACACTCAAGATATTGCTCAAACTGATTAAATAACGCATGGGCAGTAAATTCAGTTAGAAGCTAAAACTGTCAAATAACACAAATCCAGCTCAACTTATATTTTGTGAATTGACCCTCATGTAGAATATCTAACACTTCACAAATACACAAAAAAGTGCACCAATCAGGTTTTCTGAAAAAAGTTCATGAATGTTATTGCCACAAAATGGAGGCGATATGGAAAATTGCACTACCCACTGAAGTGCTCTTCTGTGACATCTTGGTGGTTTTATCTGATGTACAAATATCTTGGCCTTTGAGTTCATGACGGACATGTCCATAATACTGTCATCATGATGTTCAGCAATATGAAAGCTCTTTCTTTTCCGAATGTTATTGGAATAGTTAATTCTGTTGAGGTTGTTTCAAGTCTTTTGTGCCTATTTAATGATCATCCTTCTTTTCACATGGAAAGAGAAAGTAGAATATTTCCATTTTCGATAGAACTTCATGATCAGAAATAGTCATCACTCTCCCCATGGAAAAAGAAAATGGATAACTTTCTTTTTTTGATGAGATCAAATGATAAGAAAGTTGTCTATTTTGCTTTTAGTTGAATTTCAAGACTTTCAAATGTTTTCTGCTGATCATGGAAGTTGAAGCCATGTTGTTCTGGGCTGGGAGTCATTTCTCTGTCAACACTTCACAAGAACACACTTCACAAGAACAGAGTCTAGAAATTCACCTTTCTATACACATATAGTTTTTTTTTTAAATATGGCGCCTGCTTGCAAAATGCAGTACAATATGGCTCACTGCAGACCATGTCTTCTTTTCTGCATGGTAGAGGTGGGACCTTGCTGAAGGTCAAAGAGACTTGATGCATGCTGGATCATTTTACAGCAACCAATCAGCTTCCAGGTTTTGTTGTCAAAACTTAATTAAACAAGCTGAAGTTAGAAGCTGACTGGTTACTATGCACAGCTGCAAGAGATTCTGTATGCACCAGTTTTAGTAAATCTCCCCCAATGAGCCTAACCCCTGCCACCTCCACCAAGGTGCCACCCCTCTGTGCAGGAGTGGTGGATTTTTTTTTTGTTATCCAGCACACTGTCCTCTGTGCAGGCCAGCCTGTGAGAGGTACATGTCTTCTATGTTTCATTCAACCATTCTAACCTAATGGAGACACTGTGATGTCAATTCACAGAAGTATAAAGCATGCTGCATTTACATTTCTGCATATTTGATATTTATTATGCTTGAAAATGATTTTACAGTTGTACACAACAGTTTGCATACCCTGGTAGGAATTGTGAAATTTTGGCATTGATATTGAAAATATGACTGATCATGCCAAAAAAAAAGACAGAAAATTATATAAAAAGATATCCAAAGCTTTGAATATGCCAGTCAGTACTGTTCTTTTTTTTTTTGTTTTACATTTTATTCACATTTATTTTTCTTCCTCCCTTCCCACTCCCCCCACCTCAATCACCCAATGCCCTTCCCCCCTCCCTCCCCCACTCTACATTTTCTCTTCTCTCCTTTACACCATGTATTTCTATTATTTCTAAATCCAATTCCAGGGGTATTATATCTTCATATATTTCACCTTTTCTCTATATTCTTCCCATCTTTTCCATTTTATATTATACATCTCCATCTTGTCCATATGCATATAATACAGTTTTTCTGTCCCACAGATCTGATTCATTCTGCCCATCCAATCCTCCTCAGTTGGCACCTCTCTTTTTTTCCAAAACCTATCAGGCTCTTTGCTGCGGTCAGATAATGCCATATCCCCGATCTCTTATATGATTTCACTGGGAGTTCTGAGGTATGGTGGAGACATAATTCTGGGTCTAATCCTATGTTAATTTTAGCGATTTTCCTTATCAAATAAACTATCCTCTGCCAAAACACCTGTATTTCTGAACACTCCTACCACATATGATACCATGTGCCCACTTCTCCACAACCTCTCCAACATAACCATGAAATTTCCTTATTCATCTTGTGCTCCATATTTAGGGGTAATGTGCCATCTCATCAAACACTTATAATTTATTTCTACTTCCCTCATACTAATATTTTCGTGAATTAATGTGAGCATTTTCCTCTGCTCCTCCTCCTCTATTTCTCTTCCCATATCTCTTTCCAGTCAGTACTGTTCAATCACTTATTAGAAGTGGAAATTTCAGGGATCTCTTGATGCCAAGTCAAGGTCAGGTAGACCAAAAAAGATTGCAGCCACAACTGCCAGAAGAATTGTTTGGGATACAAAGAAAAACCCACACGTAACCTCAAGAGAAATACAAGCTGCTCTGGAAAAAGACAGTGTGGTTGCTTCAAGGAGCACAATACAACATATTTGATCAAAATTTATCTGCATGGTCGAGTTGCCAGAAAGAAGCCTTTACTGCACCAATGCTTCAAAAAAGCCCAGTTACAATATGCCTGACAACACTCTGACATACCTCACAACTTCTGGAACATTGTTTTCTGGAGTGACTAGACCAAAATAGAGCTAAGTTCTATGTTTAGAAAGAGGTCAACAATAAGTATAGCGACAAGTATACCATCCCCACTTTGAGGCATGGTGGTAGCTCACTGTTTTTGGGGGGCATGTGAAAAGGCAGGGGAAACTTGTGAAATAAGTATAATTCACTGCGACAATTTGCATTCTTCTGCAACGAAAGCTGCCATGAGACGCTCATGAACTTTGAGGACCCTATTGGTGTCAAAAAAGATAGGTTCTGGATCCATCACAGTCTCCTGACCTTAATGTCATTGAGCCACTCTGGGGAGATCTCAAATATGCGTTTCATGTATGACCAATGACATTGCATGACCTGGAGGCATTTTGCCAAGACGATGGGCAGCTATCTGCAAGAATTCAGGGCCTCATAGACAATATTACAAAAGCCTGCATGCTGTCATTGATGCTAAAGGAGGCAATCACTGTATTAAGAACTACGGGTACGCAGACTTTTGAACATGGGGCATTTCATTCGCTTACTTGTTGCCATTGTTTTTTTTATGATTGTGCCATTCTGTTATTGTGATGTGAGTGACTTTGGGTGGGGGGCCCATGGAACACAGCTCACTTTAGAGAGGTGGGGAGACCCCTGTCTCAGCTCCCCATATCCCTCTTATGTGTAAGTCACCCTGTGCCTATTAGGGGTGCAGGGTGAAATGTTCTAATATTGTGTAGACATGTCTAGGTGATAGGTGGGGGTTGGTCATTGTTTAATGCCATGTGTTTTTTTTTTTTTCCCCCATTGTTCTATTGTGTGTCTTGCTTGGGGGCAAACTATTATGGGATGTATGTGTTTGTGTATTGGCTTGGTGGGGGGTGTTTCAGGCAGCCCTTCCCCTGATGGGACTGTCTGCTGATGTGTTTCTTGTTGCAAGATTTGGTTTGCCCCGCCCTGTGTCCTTATGCAGGGAGGTGGGTTGTTTCCTTGAATGTAATATCTTGTGTCTGTGTTAAAATAAAGCATTCTATTTCCTGGTTTCTTTCAAGACTGGTCTCGTCTAGTCTTGTTTGGTCAGTGGTGGTGTCCGTGGATCTGTGTTTGGACAGGGAAGCGGGAATCTAATGGAAATACCCTAGTGCAGTCAGGGTCTGGTTCCGTTACAGTTATAACCTACAGTGGAATATGAATCCCATAAAAAATAAAAGAAATGTGTTCTGCCTGCTCACTCATGTTTTCTTTAAAAATGCTACAAACCGTATATTAGCAATTCTCCAAGGGTATGCAAACTTTTGAGCACAACTGTATACGGAAATGTAAATACTGCATGCATTATGCTTTTGTGAATTGAGACTTGTGTCGATTTTATTGGCCTGTTAGGAAGATTTTAGGTCAACTCTACTGCCATGAAAAAAAAAATTAAAGAGGAAATTAACTCTGGAAGCTGTGCCCAGGAAAAGCCAGGCAGAGGACAAAAGATTAGTCATCTATAGTCCATCTTCAGCTGATCTTTTCCCTATTACTGACTTACCATGATTTGTTTTCTTTTGTCTATTAGAAGTGGCCATCTAATAGAGGCAGGGCTTTGCTTCATCATATCAGAGCCGTCAACAGTGCATTAGTGACATTACCAAATCTTAATACATATCTCCTAAGAAAATCAGTCAGAGGCAGCTGTGCCTCAGATCTCACACCGCAGATATAAAAATTATGAGGCTCAATGCACAGGAGTGCCTAGGCACAATCACATCCCAGGAAAGGTAGGGCTTGGCACAATTATAGCAACTATAGCAAACCACTTTTTGAGTTCAGGTCCACTTCAAGTCACCCTACAAAAAAATATAAAAATACATAGGAGACTCCTATCTGTGCTTTAGTGACCAAAGAATCTTCAGCCTGTGCCCCCTGTTGCACGCCGCGGTCCTACCCATGGACAAGTAAGGGAGACTATAGTGAAGTGGAAGCTGGCCGATGGAAACATAATAGGGGGCACAGGCATCTTACTTACCGGGAAGTGTGCTGACTTCCAAAGATTCTTTGCCCACTATAGTTCTAAGTGTGCAAAAACAGAAGTCACTGCCAGACTGGCAAGTATTAATAATCATCTTTTGCAGTATGCTTTTCAATTTTTTTTTCTGGCAATGGAGTTGCTTAAGTAACTAGATTAGGGATAGGGATCTTTTCTATCTAGTTCTACTTTAAAGAAACATTAAGTGGCTTCATTTATCAAAAGTGTTTTAGAGCAAAGTGACTGTTTCCTCCAAGGAAAGGCTCTTGCTGTCATTTTCCTGGCACAATTTAGAAAATGGAGGAAAGTGGTGTCTGGCCACTGTAGATGACCTGAACATGTCTCCTTACACTTTTGAAAAACAAATCCCCTTGTATTTTCCTTGTTTGATGAAACCGTAACGTATGATGCCTTCTGCTGGCTGTAAAGGTCACAGAAGTACTGGTATGGCATTCCCAGGCCATTGGGAAAAATCCCCATTACATCACTGTGACTCTCTCAGGGGAGACATGAGCCGCTGTGTTGCTTTTGTTCTCCCTAAAGTGACTCTTCTCCCATCCTCTTTTAATGAGACGGAGCTTCTTGCTAACGCACGGGCACAGTAGCACAATCTTGCCCAGGATGACTATTGTCGGGAGGACCAGCGCTATAACAAAGTTTGGCGGAGTGTAAAAGCGGTAGTTCTCCTCTTCAAAGGCTCGTTTCCAGCCATATATTAGAACATGAAAGGTGCTGATTAGCAAAGCCACATAGCCAAGAGTAGACTGTGGGGGGAAAAAAGGACAAGAAAAGGTTAAAAACTGATTCAACATTGCAGTTTTCTACAGTTTTTTATACAGTACCTATATATAAAAAACATATTTTATAAACTGTATTACATAATTGCAGCAAGGTCAGGTCCCTCATGTACAGAACAATTTCACTGTTGGAACCATCCTTATTTAACTATATCTGCCATTCCTGCTCATCACAGTTCACAGTAAACCCAGCACAGAGACACTAACCTACATTTTCATTTGTGAAATTTCACTTTAATGTGAATTTGCTGTGTCAAACATGCCCAGGAAATTGAAAACCTAGGCACACTCTTCAGGGAATTCAAGAGATGGTTTCAGAATGCCAAGTTGGAGCGTTATGTAACTGTATCAGCCAAGAATTAGACCAGTGGCATGTAATACTAGATTTACTGAACAAATACAATACAAATAGGAATACAAAATGGTACAAAAAAGGGTTGCAATGATTACAGAAGTAGAAAGTACAGAGACCAACTGGAGCAGAGCTACAGTGAGGTAGGTCAATAAACAGCTGTCCATGGGATGGCAGCAGAAAATAGTTACAAGCACAAGCCAGTTATCTGAACAAAGCACAGGAACAGTGTCTGCAAAAATCAAATACTTGCAGTCCCCTGGACAAGTTGGTTAGATGCAGGGGCGGACTGACAACTCATGGGGCCCCCGGGCAATAGGGGATCATGGGGCCCCTGTGTCCTTGCCCAAACTCAAAAAGCCTATGAAAAAGGTACCAGGGGCATCTCATGGGGCCCCCTACTGACCCGGGCCCTCGGGCAGTGCCCAAGTTTCCAAATGGTCAGTCTGCCCCTGGTTAGATGTCTTCCTCTCTTATCAATGGACTGGCTGCAGAGGGTAACTCAGGTGGCTGAGGACAGGAACTCTGCAAAAGGATGGACACAGGTGTGGCTGACAAACCTGGAGACTTACGCCTCTTGAAAGACTGTACTGGGCAGTCTCTCTGGACAGTGTCCACCAATATGGCTGGGGTTTATGTTAGTTATCTTATGCCCTTCATCAGGGAAAAAACAAACATCTTGCTACGACAAGAGAGGAAGATTGGATCCTGTTCTGAGAAAAACTTCATGGTCCAGTCTCGTGAGCTGTGTATATTAACATGTAGACAGCTGATAGGAAAACCTCCAGCAGGCCTGGACCTGGGGGAGAGGTCTCTACAACTGGAGGTCTTCCAGGACCTGTAAAGGACACTGAATGTTGACTAACTGGTCTTAAAGGTTCAACAACATTTTCATTGCTTCAGACTGGCCCAGGTGAATGTTGCACCTCCATCTGGTAAAACAACTGGCAGACTCTTCATGGGCATTGCTGGATTCTTGGGATATTCTATCCTAAGAACTAACGTGCCACCCTGCTTTACAATCGCTGGCTTTAACAGAATGGCTGCCGACGCCCAAGTTCTTAGGGAGGGGGTATCTCTGAGTCTCTGATTCCTACAATGCTAAGGTTAGGAAATCTACTTCTTACAAGGTTTATGATCAGACATGGAAAGCATACTTCACTTTATGTGAGTTTTTTGGCTTTATCCCAGAGGTTTCTTCATGTGGGAAACCCTTCCTGTCTGCTGCTAAGTCTGTACTTGCATCTGGTTTTCAGAACAATTAAGGGTAGGTTTCTGCTCACCTGTGACTCTATGGGATCTAAGTCTGGTACCCGACTGATGGCACAGAGCCAGTCCAGGCTGAAAAAAGATTGCAACCATGTGGTGTGGATCCATCCAGAACCCTGGACCAGCACCTGAGCCAGCTGCTGCCACCCCTCTTCACAGCTCAGTGCTCCAGTGAGCATTGGGTAGGAGGGGGACAGAGCAGACAGTGGTGACTGACAGTCTCGGTTCTGTGCTCAGAGTGGTGGGAAGAACTGAGCTATCACGTTGTCTGATTGCTCAGTTCTGAGACTGGATCAATGCTGTATCCACCTAGGTAAGTATGATTTACAAAACAAAACAATACTTCTCTTTTAAGCATACTGGTAATAGGAGGAGTTTTCCAGAGCTTTATTTTTTCTTTGCCAGAGTCCAAACCTCCTATAAGTACCAGTATAATCCGAAGTTTAAAGGCTCCCTGTGTCCCTCAGTGGACTCAAAGAAACAAATATTACAGCAAGTCCAAATATACTATTAATTGTTCCCTGCTCAGTCCTTGGGTAGCTAATGGCTAAGAAATTTGTAAAATTTCACCTTTTCATATCTCACAATCATTAGAGGATTATTCTTTATAAGATTATTAGAGGATCAAATAGATAGGAGATGGAAAAGAGAAGGTGATAGAAAAATTGGCTTTATTCTCTAGAGAAAGTAAAGTGATCTCAGAGTTGCTTGATGAAAAGCAGAGTACAAGTGACAGCTGGACCTTCTGAAATTACAAACACATGGGCAACTATAACCAAATTGGTTATTGGAGCAGGGCTCGGTGCTGATCCTGGTGCTGAATGGTCTGATAGTTTCATGGATGACAAAGTACAAACGTAAACATGAATATAAAGTGTAACTAAAGCCACTTTCTTTTTTCTATGGATCAGGTAGAGAAAAGTTGGAACCCGTGTTAGATCTCTATTGTCTAGGGCTGTCTGGGAGGAATAAAGCTGGCCATACATGGATCAAAATTCTGATGAATCAGCCAAATTTCAATCCGTGTATTTCCCTTTGTCTTCGGTAAGCCGGTCATTATACTGGGTTCTGACGAACAGTCCTGCTGAAAAACCAGCATTCGATCAGATGTTGCAGTCCATAGGCTGCAGCCCTGATAAGTGTATTCTGTCGGTGGGGGAGTCGTACCCATCAACCTCAAATGTATAGATGGGGAAATCAGCTCAGACCATTTTCTGATGACCATTGTCATGTAATGGAACTAAATTGTGAGTTATCACTGAAACAGGAAGAAAGGGGAATTCATCCAATGAGGACACCTGTTCTAGTGACAATTGTCTAAGAGGATTTCCTTTCTTTGGAGAAATTTCTTCTTCATACCTGTTGTGTCTACAGGACAGAAAATGAAGAACATTCTGCTCAAAGAGATACAGGCAGCAGAAAAAAAAAAAAAAAAAACCTGACAAGAGTTGTAATCCTTTCCAAAGCTAAAAAAACAAATCCTGTGAGCAGATTGCGGGGGGGTGGGCTGAGCCACGCTGCATATTTCTTTTTGCGCATTCCCGCATGCCACATGTAGGGAAACCCTTTCATTTCAATAAGAAATACAGAAAAGAAGTCCTTGACTCTCTTCCAAAAACATGCTGCACCACACCACAGATTGATGCAGCACCATGCAGTTTGGTCCACACAAAAGCGTGTGCGTTTGCAAATATGTGGGTTAATGGCACACCTATGCATCTACTTGCTTCTCTACATGGCGAGAAGTGTACAATTTTGCTCCCCCCGACATGCAAAAGATTTGAACCTAGTCTAAAGGTTTTGTAGGTTAAAATCTGAGGGCACAGTTCCAGATGACTTGGGAATATTATTCTATAGTCCAGCTGAGAACTGAAAGCTTGCACAGCCACTGATCTCGGATGAACAATAAGGAACCAGTCAATGTGACAGAAAATCATAGTGATTGCATGCATTGTAAATGTCGTACAAACAAAGCTTTTCAGCCTTTGGATTGGACTGTACCTCTGCAACTGCAACTGCAATTGATGTGCACAGAGAAATAAGTATGCTGTTAAAAACTCACAATGTGCACCAAAAACCATTGTATGGGTTCCCACATGGAAGAAAAATATATTTGAAATATATTTTAAAAATATTTTCCCCAAATATATTGACATATATTTGAAATACTACAATTTTGGACATATTATATATATATATATATATATATATATATGTATATATACACTGTATGTTGAAATGCCTTTTTATTACAAAATATATGAAAAATATTTTTTAAAAATACATTTTCAAATATACTGTATGTCTTTAAAAATACAAATCTACATTTTTGGAATGCGCTTACAAATATATGTAAAAATATATGTTAAAATTACTTTTTTATATGTTAAAATCTGAAGAATATATAAAAAAAAAACATAGATTTGCATTTTTAAAGACATACAGTATATTTGAAATGTATTTTTAAAATTATTTTTCATATATTATGTAATAAAAAATGCATTTTAACATACAGTATATATATAGATATATATATCTATATATATATTTATTTATTGAAATATATTGAATATGGCTAAAATTGTAGTATTTCAAATATACGTCAATATATTTGGGAAGAAATCTTTTTTAAATATATTTCAAATATATTTTTCTTCCATATGGGTTTGCACCTTCTGCAGTCACAGCCCAACGTGAAATGGATGCAGCAGTGAGTAAGGCTCAGATTTTAGCTGACATTGTTCCAGTGTAGGTATGAATATGATCTCTGTTATCTCAGTATCGTATCGTGAGCTTCCTGCTCAACATTCCCATATGAAGACATTAGTGAAAGCCTTGCCTTCTCTCTCCAGATTGTACAGAATCCTGCTCAGATAGACAATGCAATTTGAAGGTTCTAAATAGGTCAGAATATTTGCATATATAAGCCATGGATTGATATCACAGTAGTCTGCAGATGTGTTGACGATGGCCGAGCATGGTGGAAAGCACTGGAATATCTTTAACACATTTTCAGAGCTCAGAATACGAGACAGAAGCAGGACGGGGTGACCTAGTTAGAGATAGCAGAAGGATGGCTGGGAAATAACGGATTGCATTTAGTTGCAGAACATTTTATGCAAAACAGACACTTAGAAGTTGTCTAAATATAGGATCACATTGAAATTAGAAAAAACAGTTGATAATAATGTAAAAAGTACCTGCACTGAATAATAAAAAGTAACTTTTGATTGGTTGATTTGTATTAGGCCTCATGCACACTGGATGTTTTTCTATCTCTCCTAGACGTCTTTGCTCCTTGCTGCAGCATTTTGGCAAAAAAAATTGCTTGGTGCTTGTAAAAGTT